ATATTAGCAGAATATAACCCATAAATGGATGAATAGAATATTCATGAATATCTACCAATATATATACCATACGACACCATCAGCATGTCGTGCCAAATGCCCGAAGGAAGAAGGAAGTGACCCAGTGACCAGTGACAAAGTGTCTTTGTCAAATCTGTCAAATTCTCAATGTCAACTTCACTTCTCCCGACAGTTATCGACAAGGTACATTCCACTGAATGCTGCACTCGTATCAATAGTCCAAGACCACTTCTCGGCCCCAACCTATACGCTTACAAATTTGCTATCATTCCTTCTATTTATTGCATGAGAATTCGCTTGTATTTGTTCATAAAGTATGCTAGGTCCTCGCTGTTAGCAGATTCATCAATTTAAGTTCTGGTTTCGGTTCGATGACGCAGTTGATAGACTACACTCTCGGTAGATCGCTTCCCCACTATTCATGATGATTCGTGTGACGTTTGCCCAGGTTGGTGTCGAATAGCCGTTCGACGGCCAAATAGGTCGAGAAATAAGACTCAAATGAATATCGCCGCGTTGCCGGCGAACTATGGGCGCTAAGCTGCAAATAAACCGTAACAATATTCATTATAACAAATTTATTACCATTCGGAAAAGTCGACATAGTCAGTTCATTATAAATCACCCTGTAGGATAATTATCATTAAAACCATAGTCGGTGTATCATCGGAGTTCATTCATAATTTTCGATGGAAATTTTAAAAACGTGGATCAGGCAGGAATATCAACATCTGCCGGTGTATTGTATTTTTCGAAATAATTCTGATTGACTTGGCCACAAAAAATGAGGCATCATGATTGTTGTGTAGAGACGATAACGATAAATCAAGATAGGTTATAGCCAAATAAAACAGACTATTGAGAATTCCTGAAAGAGATTCTTCCTAGAGAACACCCCATTTTTTTCACTTTCCGGATTTTTCTTGTTGTGCTGCTTCCAAAAATATATCGCCCGTTTCTTAGGGTGGACAAGACTACAAAATGTTATATAATTTAATTGAATTGTAATACACTTACACTGAAAATGAAATTTCATAACGTGTTTTTGATAGTGAATCATAGAAATTGCATAATTCCGTGATTTCATTTCTGTGTTTATGTATGTAGATACGCGCAACAAATGTCTTATTTTTTTTAAATGGGTACTCGAGTACACCAAGCGTGCGGAGCCGGGCCGGAAAGCTAGTCAAAAATGATATAAAATGATGGCGAGCTGTCATGAATGACATGAATGTCATTATATGTATTTTCATATTCAAAACCGAGATATAAATCACTCACATTTCAAAGAAATAATTTTTATCAACCAATTGTTCCATCCATGGAATAATCTTAACAAACACAACTTGTTTTATTGATGAATATCGAAAGTTAGTTCTCTTTTTTGTTTTTATGTCGCTTTTGGAAATCAGACTCGTGATAAAACATATGCTTGTGTTACATACATACGTTAATGAATTTTATCATTGTATTGAGCTGTCAGTATATTTTTGTTATTCTTTTTCAAAGGGGTATTATATCTTCCTCATTACCCATTTTATTGATAAGAGTGAACGGTTACCTCTTTTTCAATGTTCTATTAGAAATAGAAATATCGGAGTTCGAAAATAAATAACTTCGAAACATGTGAGGATTATGGAAATAATTGATATGACCATCAAGGTTGAAGCATATCAAACGGCAATCGTAATTTACGATGCAATAAACCTTCAATGAAAATTTGTTACTTACATAAATATACATATACATGCTAGTCAATCTTGCACACGCTTGTCCGCTAACGATTACGATTTTAACACTACCCACTTATCACCGATATGCTCAAATTCTGCTACCTTTTGATGGACTTGTAATATACAGGTTGTTTATCCAACCGTTGCATATAGGAGTATCAAGAAAGGATGCCATTTGGCAACATTCTTCTTCTTCTTCTTCTTTTTCTCGTAACAATTTCTCCAGATCAGTTAATTAATTTTTTCAAGATTAAATGCTTGGTTATGTAATAATATTATCACTCGACTCACCACATAAGACACCGGTTGTCTATCACAATGGCCTGAAGCCGAGTCATCAGTGTTCATAAGATTCGAACGTATGTATACTCCGCTTATCCAGCAAATCCGTTGCTGATCCGGCCTGGTTACCGGCGTAGAGATAATGGAACATGTTTGACTTCAAGTATGGCCCCCTTATCCGATGAATCCGTCAACATCCGGCCTCTATACCGGCGTAGAGATAAAAGAGTCTAATATTTCTCACACACACTTTTCAAATTTCATATTGAATATTGGATTACAATTATTATTTTGGCAAAATTCCCAGGTAAGAAGAATAGCGGCGGTTTTTTCACTAGCGTAGACGGAGAAAATAGCGAAGACGTGCAATAGCCGCATAGTCCTTGATTCATATATTATGCATGTGATTATGCTAATCTAATATTTCAATTAACGGCATAGTCTCTTGCGATGTTGCTATCCAAATGTCCTTTGTGTAACGATAAGATAAACGACCTGTGGCTTGTAAAAGATGACCGGCGGTAAGAATGTGAGCCCAGAGCACAATATGAATGTTGCAGTCATCAACTCACTGTCAATTAAAAAAGGGAATACCAAGCGCTCGCTTGAACTGGTGGTATCAGTTCAAACGTGCAGTCAGTCATATTGTTCGTGACTTGATGAAAGCGATGTTCTCATATAACACTCGACGTCCTGAGGACGTCCAGTTCAGGGCCGATTCAGGTCTGAACGTCCGGGACCTTTTCAAGACGTACTGGATACGTACGTGAAATGGACGTTCTGGGGACGTTTCCAATGTCCGAGGTGTTCGAATTCTGATTGGTTCAGTATTAGAATAATTTTTGCTTCAATTCCTTATTTCAGTGAACTAACTCCCAAGTTAACCAGAATCTTCAAACTCAACAATAACATTAAACTAGCTAACAAAACCGTGTTAACAATTAAATCAATTTATTCAAAAGTGAAAGATAAAATTCTTGCAAAGGCACAAACCAATGTGATCTACAGTATCCCCTGTCAGGAGTGTGACAAAATCTATATAGGCCAATCAAAAAGATCCCTGGCCAACAGAATCACCTCCCATAGGAGCGACTCTAGATTACATCCAGAAAGATGTGCTCTTGCAGATCATGTCAACAAAATGAATCATCGTATGGACTATGACTCAGCAAGAATTTTAGCAATTGAAAGTAACCTCACTAAAAGATCCTTCCTAGAAATGGCATTCATCTCACAAAATCCCAATTGCATTAATAAAAGAACTGATATTCAACATTTAAGTGAAATATACTCATTTCTCTCAGCTTTAGACAAACAATCTCGAGTTCCTCATAGCATTTTGAACATCAACAATTCCGAATAATAACATACAGTCTTTTCTTGAAATTCCTCACATCAAACCTTTTCCAGTCAAACCTGTTGTATTTCATGGTCTGCCAACTATGTAATTAATATGTTCCCCCGTTTTCTGTTCCATTGGGTTGAGATTTGGAGGATTACTAACATTAGTGTGTACCATAAGGGTTAAGAATTCTGACTTACGACCTACTCATGTCAACCTAAGAAAGAGAAGAAGACGAAACATTCTAACCTATATTCTGCAGATTCGTTAAAATCGTTTCAGCCACGTTGGATTTGAAAATTCGAACTTATTCATGAGGTAATAAGTAGCCTCTTATCTAATCATGATTATAACTAAATAATTTCTTTTAACTTGTTTTTCGTCTCATCAGTATGTTAATGTTAACAATTTTACAAATCTTACAACAGAGTAACCATTCTCAATAAGTGTAAGTGACAAAGTTTTTTCAATATTGTGAATTAATTTTAATACTTCCAATTTTTTTAGTCTACCCTGATGATGGAAATATACATTTCCGAAAGCTCGGACAAACTTGAATGAGAACACATTTACTTTTGCTGCATCCCCACTAAACTACTAGTTTTATCTCTAACTGGTCAGCAAAGACTTCCCTTCCCTATACCTATATATAGGATTCAACTCTTGAATAATAAACGAATAGGTAAGAGTATTCCCAAAGATGTCAATGCATTCAATATATCAGTATTTGAAACAAAGAAGATGAATTCATCTGATTTGTCCTTACTACTAATACATATAACAAACTGATACTATATTATTGTTTTTCCACGCACTAGCTATAGAACCTATACCGTTATTTACTCCTTTTGAAGGCGCAAAGTGTGTTCTTACTAATAGGGTAGTTTTCGCCATTTTATGAACCACTAGTCAATAAATACATAGCCTCCTCTAAAATAATTAACCCGAATTCACTGTTCTGATGCGATATTCACAGGAATGGCACTCGAATCTAGTAGAGGTTTTTATCTATAACGACTTGTAATGATTATGCTGTCATGGTGACTAATTTGAATGGAAAAGAAGTGCTTTCATAGTGACATGGGTCCACATTTCAGATTCACAGAAATATATTGCTAAGTGGTGAAAAAAATGTAATATACACTTTGGTTGTAAAGAATATCATTATATCACGGGACCTAATACCCCTTGGCTGAAGCCTTAGGATATAATCTTATTGGTCCCTGGGTAAAAATGACATTCTTTACTACCTTGGTGTATAAATAACAATTCTAATGATACGATCGAGGAGAGAAAATGTTGAAGACATCAAGGAAAATGAATGATTTAAAGTATCATTTCATCGCTTGATAAAGCTCTAAGCTTATTCTTGTTATAGTTTCACGATTCTGCTCAAAGTTTCATAATTTCTTTTTTACATTTTGCAATACATTTCAAGATTTTCTCGTTTTTTGTGTTGAGGTATATTCAATATTCTCACAATTCCCACACACGATAGGGTGTTCCATACAAAAGTGAATGTTATATTCCTTGATAAACCATCAGAAATTGATCAACTTGAAAAAATTCCGTCAAAATCCCACTGTTGAGAATTGAGATTGACCAAATTCCATCAATTTCAGGAGGATGTTCCCCACTCTGAGGGTATCGTTCACCGGCATAAGGTCTGACCAACGTTACGCAGTACTCTTGGACGTAGTACCTGTAGACAACAAGCGTTACAGGTACGCGTACCATCGATCGTCCTGGTTGGTAGCAGGAAAAGCGGACCCCCCTGCCCCAAACAGGCTGTACGCGCATCCTGATTCGCCTTATTCGGGAGAGCAGCTCAGGAAGCAAGTCGTCTCATTCGAGAAGGTCAAGCTGACCAACAATGAGATGGATAAAAACGGACAAGTGAGTAGTCAAATCTGTCGAATTATCCGTATCTTTAGGGAAATACAAGGTGTTTTCCGAATCAGAAAAATTTGTGCAGTCGATGGGAATCGAACCCACGACCGGCAAGCGAATGCGGAATAGAATATTGACACTGTCCGCACGGCTACCTGGCCCTCTAACAGGGTATACGGACAGATCATAGCTCCTTTCACTTTTAATCATCTATATTGACTTTAGTTTCGTGTATTGGCGTCTCTGACATGACATTGCTGTCACGTCACATTCATAGGCGTTGAAAGAGATCTTACAAAATTTTAATTTCATACTTGATCTCAATACGACATTATTCAATTCTGGTTTGGAAGGATGGTAAAATGTGCTGCGTAAGGCTGTATCAATCAGTTGGTTGGCAAATTTGAAATTGTCAGCTTAGCATCAAATGCAAATTGACTTAGAACATGGAAATTAAAGTGACCGACAAAATATTTGAGGTAAAAATTAATACGAAATCAGGAAATCACATAATATATACTTTCTCATTGTGCCTATAATTATCCACTCCACAAGTTTCTGAATGCATTTTAGTAGAAACGGTTTTGATTAAAACGGAGGACTAAAAGAAGAGGCATATGCGATGCCCTACCATTTGAGAAAATATACCTACATTCAGGAAATATTAAGTGTTCGTGAAAAACTGCAAAAATCATTCCCAACATGCATATACAGGGTGTCCCATAATTAGCCTGCCAAACTTCACCAGCGACTTCTACGACCAATAATAGATAGAAAAGTTCGAATGAACTTAGGTCTCAAAATGGCTCCTATAAGGGAGCTACGGCCACCTTAAAGGGGGCTTCTGAAGATGGTATTTCCTGAATATTTCCGAAACGCCGTGAGATAAAATGATGGAATTTGGTACAAGAACTAAACTTTTTATGCTTAATGCAGTGGGGATAAAATGATTTCAAAATTTGATTTATGAGTATTTAAAACAGGGTGGAGCTACTCTAAATATCACCCTAATTTTTTTGGAGGCAATTTTTTCGACGATTTAGTCTCGGATTATGAATATCTAAACATTTTTACAGAAGAAAGGTACTCTTGTTTCATGTTGATCAGATGAACCATTTTCGAGTAAAATCGATTTAAAAATATCAATAAATCTCAAGAATAACGCACAATATTGCAATATCAAATCATAGTGGCTATGGCAATACTAATTAATACATTATACGTGAAGAACGCCCTTATTGCATGATGTCCTCGATATGAATATGCGAAATCTTATTAATGGTCATAGAAATTGTTCGAATAAATTTCCATTGTTATCAATGCATAATCTCGCTCGACGACTTATTGCGCTTGTGGCTCTCAGAATTTGAAAGCGATTTCCTCTGAGTTCACTTGCTGCCAACTCTATTCGTTGAAGTAATTCTTCATGTGTGTTCACCTCAGTTCTATAAACCAACTCTTCCATTTGACCCCATAAATAATAATCTAGAGGGTTCAGGTCCGGTGAACGTGGTGGCCAAAGAATGGGACCAGTACGGCCTATCCACCTTCCAGGAAAAATCTCACTCAACCATGCCCTAACGCGCTGTCCATAATGTGCTGGAGCCCCATCGTGTTGGTAATACATATTTTCACATCTTCCAAAAGTATTCCTAGGTTATTCTGAAGAAAGTTATGATACCCATCAGCATTCAGGCGGTTGGGTAGGACGACAGGACCAATTAACTGATCCCCTATCATTCCTGCCCATGTATTTACAGAGAAACGATGTTGAAAATTAGAACGTCGGACCACTCTGGGATTATCATTCGCCCATACATGGGTGTTGTGCATATTGAACACTCCGTTTCTGGTGAAGATGGATTCGTCGCTCCAAAGAATGTTCGATTTGATGTTCTCATTTTCTAAAATCCATTGGCAGAACTGAATCCTGCAACTGTTATTTCATTGCCAAACTGTGTACTCACATTCCACATTACTGTTGCCCTATAGGCACGTTAAAATTCCTGGATACAGTCCTTATACTAATGTTCGGATTATTATCGATGACATTCAGAATATTCTCCATGTTATGTCCTCTTGAAGGTCTTCCTTGCCCAGGAACATGTTGAAAATTGCCATGATCACTCAAGTTTCTATGAGTATTAACGAATACTTGTCGCCCATGTATTCTTCTGTTCGGAAATCTCCTCCGATATTCTCGCTCAGCCTCTCGTGCATTGCCATTACAAAATCCGTACAAAAAATGTATGTCTGCATATTCCTGATTTGTGAATTGTGGCATTTGGTAACAACTATCAAAACTAACTGTTACCCTTTTTTTTTTCATGGCCACTACGATTTGATATTGGCAATATTGTGCGTTATTCTTGAGATTTATTGATATTTTCAAATCGATTTTACTCGAAAATGGTTCATCTGATCAACATGGAACAAGAGTACCTTTTTTCTGTAAAAATGTTCATATATTTATAATCCGAGACCAAATCGTCGAAAAAATTGCATACAAAAAAATTAGGGTGATATTTAGAGTAGCTCCACCCTGTTTTAAATACTCATAAATCAAATTTTGAAATCATTTTATCTCCACTGCATTAAGCATGAAAAGTTTAGTTCTTGTACCAAATTTCATCATTTTATCTCACGGCGTTTCGGAAATATTCAGGAAATACCATCTTCAGAAGCCCCCTTTAAGGTGGCCGTAGCTCTCTTAGGAGCCATTTTGAGACCTATGTTCATTCGAACTGTTCTATCTATTTTCGGTCGTAGAAGTCGCTGGTGAAGTTTGGCAGGCTAATTATGGGACACCCTGTATACAGCACTTATTTCAATGCCACCCTGTATATAGGTTTAGCGCGTCTAACTTTGACAATCGATAGTGAAACTCAAAATATTACACATGTACTTTTTTGTTTTGTCGTGGAGAAACTTGTTTTGATCATACGGGGTGTTATAAAATTCGCATGAATATTTGGTTTTTTATTCATTATCTCTGTTGAAACCAAACCTAGCGATTTGAAATTTGGTGAGCACTTTACTATCGGAAATATGAACATTTCTTATCGATACAGGTGACTAAGCTACACTGAGTGTTTTTTTTTATATCCACAGATGTCGAACCCTATACAAATTTTTCTAGTGGGACGCTAATTGTGAATTATATATACCTGATGAAAAATTATCCCCATTTATTCACCTTGCTAGCAGCGCTTCATTTGTTTCGATATATTTTTTAGTTTCCTTGTTATTTGAAATAATGTTATACGATATGCATATAGCACTTTTTTGACCTGAATGTTTATCTTACATCAAATTATCATTCGCATTGAATATTAAATGGATCACGGACACGAACAATTCATTTCAAAATTCCATAACTAGTAAGCACTACAATTGTTATTGAATATTTTCAAAATTCAACAATATCCAAAGCACACCATGATAACATTGTTTATCAATCGAGTATGATGCGGCTGAGGATGCACCTGATATGATTTGCTCAATAGGTATATAACTTTTGGGAACTCAAGAGATATTCAAACGAATGAAAAACACGAAAGTATGAGGGGTGAAAATAATAATGATTTTTCATTCTTCATTCCACTACAACGCCCCAATAAAAAAATTTGATGGGTTCCATGTCAGAGACGGCTCAAAAAAGAATAACACCCAGCAGTGTATAGCTGAGTCCCATCTATATTGATAAGGACTGTTCATATTGCCGATAAAAAATGACACCTTATTTCAAATCGCTATGTTTTTAATCAACTGAGATAAAAAATAAAAACAAAACTTTGACAACCCGTATAATGCAAACAAGTTTCTCCACAACAAAACAGAAAAAATGGTAACTGAACGTTTCGAGTACACACGGTATAGTACCTAGATTTGTTTTCTCTAGGATGGTTCAACGTCGAAATAACTGAACCTAACATTTTTTTTTCTACAAACTATAGGTCGCGTGCAAGAACTGTCAGATGACCGACCCTGGAGGCAAAATATATTTGTTTACAAGTGATCGAAATAGTTTTCCACAATTATTTTGGCATATGAATCGTATTTTTCCGCTATTCATAAATTCGCTAATGCCATCACATTGTGCTGTTGTAAAATGCACAAAAACTGCAGCGGAAGATGAAGAAATCCGGATGGTACATTATGATTCAAAAGTAAGTACCTACTAGTCACTCACATAGTTTTCATTTTTGAAATTTGGTTATTTCTCTGATTTCTCATCGGAATTCCTTCTGCAATAGGATCAGCTAATAGAAATATACCTGAAATTTCTAGAATAATGCAAGGAGATTGGATTCATGCAATCAATCAGTAGGACTGGTCTGGCATGCTGACGATCGTTTGTGTTGTAGACATTTTCAATCTATTAGCAGCATTAGCTTGTTTTGCAGAAGTGGCAGAAGGCAGAAGGAATTTTTAAGGAATGACAACATTTCATAATGCTAACTATGTGAGATTACTATTTACCTGAAAAATCATATTCCCTAGTCTCTTGCTGCATTTTTTGTGCATTGTACAACAGCACAATGCGAAGGCATGCTTGAATTAATGAATAACGCAGGAAACACGATTCGTATGCCAAAATGTTGTGAAAAACTATTTCAACCTTTTGATTCCTCTGTAACCAAATAAAAAAGTGAGGTTGTGTTTCAATAATTCACAGAAGAATGAGGTTGTGTTTCAATATTTTGCCTCCAGGGTCGGTCTTCGTGCACGCGACCTATATTTTATTCCTTTTTTCATGTCGTCAATGTCAACTACTCATCATGCCCAACTCGAACCCATCAATATCTATGAAAAATAAAATTGTCACATTGTTTCCTTGGTCCTTGGTATTGATTTTCTTATAAATAGATCGACTACATTGATATGAGTATGGGTAATTTCCTGAACATATTTAATAAAAATATGAAGTACATACAACAACCACATATGATCAGATGTATTTAATTTCAACACGAGCAATTTTGGTATGACATGATTGATTGAAT